TTCCTACTTTACCAAACTTTTCTTACGTACAATTTTCCACAATGCAATGTCAATCTTCCAAAGCTCGTATAAACCATGTATATATCCATGATCACCTCCGGCACCGTTTCCCTTCGGAAAGATTGACACTAGAACTGTCACCAAAGTGGTCAGAATGACCAATTTGTAATTTCCTATGGCAACTTTATACATTTATAAACAGCGAGTATTTTTTTTTTAGAATGATTTTTAATCGAATGATTTTTAATGAAATACATCAATGGAAGATTCTTGATCGTATTGTTAATTTCTTCTTGTATCTTGCGCAAATATACTTTGGCCGTCGGTAGTTCTACTGTTAAGGAATTTTGCACACGCGTGAAACTTCTTGTCTCCGGCTCGAACCAGTGGGCGATGATAAGCTGATTCGCAAGAAGATTCAAGAACAAGGGCAGGGGAGTGAAGGGAAGTGTGTACCTCCCGAAAGGAGGAAACGCCAGCTACGTAGCGGGTTGTGGAGTGAATGCGGGGGATATCGATTGTCGCAGCGGAGGGGCCGCGGCCAGTCAGCTGACTCGAGTTGCCAGCTCACAGCTGATCCGACACGCGATGGTCCGCGGCGCAACTACCGCCGCATTGCCGCCCTCCCCCACTCTGCGTTACCCCCCACTCCGCCACTCTGCACCGCGCCCCTCGCCCTAGCCCTATATATATTCGCGCATCTCAATTTTCTTCGCGCTTTGCGGAACCCCGCGGAGCGTGAACGCGCGCGTTCTCACCGCGCGAATTGCTGCTCGCTATTTTCTTAACTTCGAGATCATTCGATATGTACATACGTACGTACGTCATGGTCATTGAGATGTAAAAATCGTCTTATTCGTGCAATTTTTTTTTTTTTTTTCTGTTTTGGTTAAAACCTGCTAGTGAAAAGACTGACACCGGTCGATCCAACGATCGAGGTACAACGTTTGAGGTTTCTTGCAAGCGACATGTGCGTATCTTGGCATATTGCATACATGCATATGCATTCGCAGCTCCATAAAATCGATCTCGATACGTTCGTGACTAAATTGCTGATGTACCGGTCGATTGTCAAACGCGTGTATACATGTACAGGGTGTTTCAGAATACGAGAATGGGAAGTTATAGTATTGCAAGCGCTGATTTAACGAAATAAGAGGAAAAGTTTATGATTTTACAACGTGTCGTAACAATTGTTCAAAATTGGATTTTAATGATATATATATAAATACTGTATTGTGAACGGAGCAATTTGTGTACAAGTTGCGTTCAGCGAAGGTTATTTTGAATTTTTGACATTTTCCTGGCCAGTTCAATCAAAAAGACTTGAATCCTCTCCTCTATTATTTTTATGGGCTCGTTTAAACACTGTAGTTTAACTCAATTTACATTGTTGAAATACTTCGTTCGATGGTTACTTCGAACAATTTTTCTACAAATATATAAGCAAATATTACAGTACAAAGTAAGCTGTAACAAGCTCCTCCCATATTTCCCACATGTTCCAAATCACCCTATATCGTAATACATATATATTACGATTAACGTTAATCATGATCAGTATACTAATAGTTTACGAACTATAACTCAATATATAACTCAATGTGGACGCGCTATTAAAGACAATATCTGCGGTTTATAGAAAATCTTATTTGTAATTTTTCCAGCCTCGCGATGTTCAATTACAAAGTATCATTTTATCGTTGAAAAATATATTTGAAAATAATAAATACCAAGGAATTATATAATCTTGAATATGAAGAAACATGGATACAAAGATTAAACTAAAACATTCGTAGCATTCATCGTGTGATTATTTGAAAGTCATGATTAGGAATCTAATTAACGAACTACTCGAGTTTAATATTTCTCCATGCATTAATATTTCTCTGTGAAGCGAACTCTTGTATGGAAATTGGGCCCATACGATTCAAAACAAGGTTAACAATAAACTTTTATTATTATTATTTCATTTGTACTATTAAAATTTTATTATTACTTAAATTGAAATTTTTTTCGTGTTCACAAATATATAGTAAATATTTAAAAAATTACATCGCACGTGCCTAAAAGATAATCAAAGTAATAAATTGTAACAACTGAATTTTCATTCTTCATACCATTTTCTGCAAATGATGTTGAGTCAGTTTGATCCAAATTACTCATTTGTAACTCTATATAAATTCCGCACAAGGGCTAATTATAGAGCATTACTTGCAAACGTACTTCTGTTCAGTTTCCTTCGCCAATCTCGCTTCTCAAGCGTTCCTCTTCACGTTTCATCGCCATTATCGGAAGAAAGAAATTATTTGTAAATCAACTTGGATTTGATTGTCGATAAAATACTTTGCTTTCTTCGTACGAATTATACGGAATAGCAAGGATGTCAGATCTGGAGGATGCATGCAAATTACTGGCGGAAGATTCGCTCGACCGTGTTGATTATTATACCCGACATCGAAGGGCCGCTATTATTTTGTCGTTTTCATGTCGTTCGTCGTCGCAACGACATTTACTCCTACGACAGTTTCGCCGGGGCAAATGCAAATAGATCTAACGTCGTTCCTGGCGGCTGTTTCGACTCGCGGAATTGTTCTCTCCTTTGAGAGAAAGTAGTCCAATGGGGAATTTACGGTTTGCCAGAGGTGTGGGAAAATTGTGCGACTGGTGTTTAATCCTAAAACGACATTGTGGGGTTGTCAGCGACTCTGTCGAATTTTAATCGTGTCTGCAAATGTAGATATAGAATGTAGAAGATATCGAGAATGTCGAGCGTTTTTACAGCTTCTTAATCTGTGACATAGTTTTCGAAATAACAGAAAAAGGGAAATGTTTCGTTTTTATATTTTCATCGTTTCATGGAATCACAATGAAACTCCGCTTATATTACAAATTTGTCAGAATACAAATGTATAATTGAAATTCGTATAATAGCAGTTCTCTCCTCCACTCGTTGAATATTTTCGTTCATATAATAGTTCAGATTCAGACAATTAGCAACGGCTTATTATTAATTAAAATTTGGTTCAAATTAATAGAGATCGTATAAATGGAGTTCTACGATTTTTTTTTTGTTATTTATCAAATGAATAATGAATTCATAAAAATTTGTGTAATTGTTTTAAAACGAAACCAATTATACTTTCTATTCGCTAAAAGCTATGTGTAACGATTGAGAATATATTACAAATCATACTGAATAAAAACCTTTTCTATACGCAATTCAAAATAATTGTTTGTTCTAATTTCTTTTCTTTAGCTAAAAATATAAAAATCGTTTTTTCTTAGGACATCCAGAGAAGAGTAGCAAAAGAATTTTAATAATGTTTAAAATATTTAGCTATCGTTTTGGACTGTCTACAATCTGTCAACCAGAAAATAAGACAGCTTGTTGTTCTGCGATTAAGTTCGAATTTAGAATTTACGTCGTATCTGAGATACACGCTTGTACGTATTTGAAATAAAAAGACAACGTCCGCACATATAAAGTTGATCCTGGACTAACAAAGCCATCAAGACATTGAGAAATATCAAAAAAAAAATAAGTTACAGGAAAACAGAAAACTGATAAAAAAAAATCTTTCCAAATATCAATAGTCACAATGTAAAATAGTTAGAAGAACCGTAATTATCCAAATCCTCAATCCGATTGAACGAATCACCAAAAATTATCTAGTTAAATGCCAGAAGTCACCGAAAGAAAAAAAAAAAAAAAAAAAGAAGAAATAATTAAAAGTGACTACAATCTCACACGTCATGTATGTACGTTAGTCCAGATAATAGAAGTTTCAATCAATTTCAGTAGCCGCGTCGACGCTTCGGAGATCTTTTTGTAACCGTGTTCTCCATCTTCATATTTACCTATCGTGCCTCGTTGCTTCGGCAGTCGTTCACTGTCCCGTTCGTTGCTGCAATATAACGCGTTCCACGTAGCTTTGTCTCTTGTCGTAGATATTTGTTCGTCATTCCTAGTACGCCCGAGCGCTTCGCCGCTCCTCTTCCTCCTTCAATTTCGACCCCCGTGTGCCGCCGCTGTTATCGTGCAAAGGGGAACGACGCGTATGCAGGCTGAGCGGTAAATCCGTAGGTTAGAATAACGATAATAGTCCGCGTCGTAATTCCACTCGAACGTGATCGTTGCTTCGATATAATTGTGCCGGATTGAAGCGGATCGAAGCGCCTCTGGACGCAACTGTTTCGGAGCTAAGCTGGTATTGTGCGGACGTCTGTTATTTGGGCGGAGATTTTGTTACTTAATCGCGGAAGTATTTAAGAGAAGAGGTTTGCGAACGATCCCCCTCCCTCCTCTCCTTCCTTTTTGCCCTTTTTCTCAAGCTATTTCCTCCCTAGTTTGACCAGATTTTTGCCTAAAACATCTACCAGAGTGTATAGTAATGTAGTACAGTAAAATTTTAAAATATTTCAATTAACATCTTTTTTTTCTTTAATAGATCAACGATGACTCGAATTTTAATTTCTTATAAATTAAAAAGTTCACGATATTTTAAGAGAAATCACGGTTTTTTTTTTTTTCTTATTACTCGGTTGAAATATTCTATATTTATGTATAGAAGGAAGAACAGTAGCAGGTTTCTCATTAACTGTGACCTTCGTTAGAATTAAATACATGTAAATAAATTATTTCCATTTGACGAGGTAAATTTCTCGATTTTCTCGATACTACACTGAACTAAACAAGCCGATCTATATGGAATATTCGATCTAAGCTGCAATCGCTCGAAGTTTTGTTAGAAACTAATGTATTATACACATCATACATGAATTAAATACATGTAAATAAATTGTTTCCTCTTGACGAGGTAAATTTCTCGATTTTCTCGATATACTATACTGGATAAAACTACACTGAACTAAACTGTTCAACGTGAAACCAGCCGATCTATGTATGTACATTCGATCTAAGCCGCAATCGCTCGAAGTTTCGTTAGAAACTAAAGTACATGGTATTATACACATGTACGGTCTCGTATCGAAGGTACCAGCAATCGATCTTTACTACGCTACAAAGGTTACCAATTGAATGCCATTTTCCATAAATTTGTCGTAGCTATCGAGGGCCCGATTGCGCCACTCGTGGAAAATTTTCTCCCCCAAAGAAATCGTCGGAAGCGACTCAAAAGGACGTCGAATAAAAAGAGCGTGCATCGTTGCCGCATCAGCGAGCAATTCCTACCCTAGTTTCTTTCATCCATCATCGCAATATCCTCCGATCGTTTCCGCGCCCTTTGCTCCGGTCTAATCGAGACTAATCCTTACATAAGCGGCGTCGTCGTCGTTGCGCCCTTATCTAGCCACCAAGGTGGTAGCTAGTCGCGCGTCAATGCTAACCCAGATTTAACCCAGACCCCGTAACTTGATCCAAACGTGACCCAGATTTTGTTTAGATTCAATCCTGACCTAATCCGTTAGTTTTATCTTATTTCCAAGTTCACGCCTATCGGCTTGTGTCTTCAGAGTCTGTGCTAGCCGCGTCAGAAAAGCCAACAAGTCGAGCACCACGCCCAGTCTCTTGCTTCATTTTCGTTACAGAGCTTTTCGATCTTCCGTCTTTCGTGAATATCTCTCGCGACGTGCAAGACACGAATACATGGTGCTGAATACATGGCTTAGGTTTTCGATTGACGGAGCGAATAGAATGGAAAGATTTTCGTTGGTAAAGAGAGAAACTTTAATAATAATTTGGCGCGTTGACTGTCATAAATTCCGTTTTTTGGATTGTAGGAGATTATATTCTTTGTGTGGAATTAAAATTTTTGTTTTATAAGAAAACAAAAATTTCAGCACGAATTAATATTTATTAGTTATTAAAATTTCAGGACGATTAAAATATAAAATTTGTGTCAGAGAAATAAGAGTGCAAGAAATAGTTATAGTTTATGATACAATAAAAAATACAAACTTTTATATATATATATTTAATAGTGATAATAATATTTTTTTCATATCGTAATATGTATTATAAATTTAAAAATGCATAAATTGTAAAATTATGAATTGGCCATTTACACTACTCTGTTGGTTTTAGTTTTAAATATTGTTTTAAAAATGCTATGTCTTGAAAAGCTAGAAAAATTGACACATTAAAGATTCACTGAATCTTTAAAAATGAAACAGCTTTTTTTTACTCTAGTTTCTTAACATGCCACAATTTTTTTAATTATCCTATAAACGTTGCAACATTTTTCGAAAAAAGGAACTCTTATTTCTATTCTTTTCTTTCAGTAGAACTTCTTTTATATGAACTTGCCGGGGACAAATAGAGTTCATATAATAGGAATCCATTGATTCTCCCCTCTACCAATGATTTTTCGTTCGTATAACAAGAATTCATATTCAAATAAGTGGATTCAACTAACAAGAATTCATTGAATCGAGTATCGACTAATATTTGGTTCTAATAAATGTAGTTCTACTATATGTGTAAAAAATATTTATAAAATTTGCTGCATTATAATACAAACGTAATATTGAAGAAGTGAGAACTTTAGAAAGAGTTGAATATCGTTTGACTAGATTTATTTCGATATTACACGCCGTTCCAACTAAGAGCCACCGGACATTTAAATATCTTCTTTATTTTTAACAGATTTAATAAGATTTCAAACATTATGCTTAGAATATTATCGAGGATAAAAATATCACTTTGACAATTTGTAACATAGAAAATAAAGTTCACGTTATTCTCGCGTACATTGTTTTAGAATTTCGTTATCTTTCAATATTTGAAATTATTCCAAAATCATTTAAATGTATCTTAACACGTGCTGTTGCAACATGCTAACTGGTAAAAAAAAACCAGTAACAAGAAAAAAATTTGAAAGAAGAAATGTTTTGTCATTTGTAATACTGTTCCTTCTAAAACTATTCAGATAAAAATAAAAAAGAAGAATACCTCGTATATTTTGTGTTCAGTAAAGTTGTCACGAAACAATATATATTTTTCTTTATCTCTGATATTTAAGCTTTTAATGCGTCAATCTCGTTTCACATAGAAAACATTCATCTTGCTAGGAATCAGAATGAGAATGATAAATAAAATGCTAAGTTGGACTCGTCTAGTAAAAAGTCGAGAGTCTAGTTTCACTTACGCAAATTTCATTCTACCGCTTCGTTTAATGGACGAAACTCAACGCAAGTCACATTTAATCCTGTCCAAGTATTTTCCAAACCGAACCGTGACCTATTTTCATGTTTCAGAGTCAGCACCGAACTCGATCTCTAAGAGTGGTTCAAAGTCAATCTTGATTTAACCTAAATACTTAGTAACCTTAAATGCATTTCTTGTATATAGTGTAAACGCATGGAAATTCTGCATATCGCGATCACGGCAGTTTTTATGATGTTTATAAATGAAATTACGTATCTAGTTTTAGAAATCTATAGAAGAAAAGAAACAGATGTCGGCAGGTTTATAAACGTAAGAAACAGATTAATCGCTTATGAAGCATGTTAAAGAAATGTTTACAACAGCGAGTGTAAGAAGGTCAGATTGTTGTAAACGTCGTCGTATTTCCAAAAATAAGTAGCTCTGTTTAAAAAAAGAAAAAAATGACTGAAACTCAGGCCTTGAAGCAAACATGCCATTAATCACGGCATACGCTCTTCTCTTCTCGAAATCGAGAAGTTGTTTGTTCTTTTTTCAAAATTGTAACTACAATAATTGCAATAATTGCAATAATTCTACATATATCCGCTAAAGAAAAGAAAAAAAAGAAGAAACAAAGCTCACAAGGAAGAACAACTTTTTCAAAAACGGTGCACTTTCGCGCCAAACGAATGCAGACCAAAATCGTTCGAACTCGAAAAGAGAACGGAATAATTCCAATTGCGCTAATCTAGTCGTTTCGTAAATAAATAAATATAATAATAGTAATTTCGTAATATATAATATAATATATATATATAATATATAATATAATATATATATAATATATAATATAATAATATTATATATATTATATACAATAATAATAGTAATAAAATAATAATTTCGTATAATAATAGTAATATAATAATAATAATAGTAATAAAATAATAAAATAAAATAATATATAGTATAATATATAGTATAATAATATTATATATATATTATATATAATAATAATAATAATAATAATAATAATAATAAAATAATAATTTCGTAATATATAATATAATATATACCATAGTAATAATATTATATATAATAATAATAATAAAATAATAATTTCGTAATATATAATNATAATATAATATGTAGTATAATAATAATATATATATTATATAATAATAATAATAATAATAATAATAATAATAATAATAATAATAATTTCGTAATATATAATAATAATATTATATATATATTATATATAATAATAATAGTAATAAAATAATAATTTCGTAATATATAATTTATAATATAATAATAATGTTATATATATATAATATTAAAATAATAATTTTGTAATATATAATATAGTATATAGTATAATAATACTATTATATATATAATAATAATAATAATAATAATAAAATAATAATTTCATAAATAATAAAACGCCATTGCCGATTGTTTAAACAAAGACGCAGAGGGGAGAGCGTTATTCCTCCAGAGTTTCCTCGTCGCTTCTTCTTTGTTTGTGATTTCCGGGTGACAGGGCTTGCACGGCTGGACGCTCCTCCGGTTCTCGAGCTGTCTCCCACCCCTCGTCCCGGCGCCTAGCATCGCCGCGCGTCGCATCAGTGGATGGAAGGGATCGGGAAATGCAAGGACTCGGAACGTTTCAGTCGTGTTCGAGCTCTCGGCAGTGCTCGAGTCCGGTTTCGAGTTGAGCTTCGATCGGTCCTCGAATGGGGAAACTCGGTGAACACGGTACGAGATACACTCCTTCTTTGCATCTCTCTGATCTGTACAATCATTCGTTTGTTGTATCCGTAGTAGATTAGTTAACTGTTGACGTAAGTTTTCATCAGTCGAGTGTTTTAGAGATCTTTTGTGTGCTCGGTGAAGACAACATATATACGTATACTAGATAGATAGTACAACACTTAGTTGAGAAGGGATGGTTGCACCAAAGAAAGCATCTTCCGAGTGGAATCGGGATTGGACCTGTACAGTGATCGATTTTTCTAAGGAAAGTCGATTCGTTTTGGTCGGGAGAACGATTTCTCTCTGTTAAGGAATTTAAAGTTTTTTTTTTTTTTTTCTTTTTTTTTTTTTGCCGCAAGTAGGATAACTTTGTCGAATCTTTCATGGTTTGGTTTCCCTTTTCTTATTACACTTTTTAAAACGTAACGAGAGATACGGGTAGATTTTTTTATCGTGCTTCAACTCATTTTTCGAGGCAAGCGAGGAAATATTGTCCAACGTTGAAACAAACAAGCGATTAAGATAACAGAATGGTATATATCTGTATTATCGTGATCTTGTTTTCGAGCTGGAAACGCAAGTGTAAAAATTCAATGGCAGGGGGGCTCGTCACCGATGTTTTTCGCAACGCGAGCCCAATCTCCCACTTTTCAACCCTCTCTACTCGTTCGGTCAGTCACTGGGGGATGTTCATTCACTCGGTTCGCCGCGTTCTTCCCTTGAACCCAGTCCAAATGGACTCGATCCATTCCGACTGCTTGAAAGACGTTTCTGGTTATCGCGAATATTCCAAGCGATATAGAGTGAATGGAAAGTGCTTTTCATTTCAAAAACAATTGTTATTGTACGCCTATACTGAATAATATGGGGGAAAAAGAATCCAGGACTTTGGATGCTCTGCTTCGCTCTCTGGGGCTTTGGATTAAGTATTCTTTACTCTTCATTAAGAGAAGTGAGACATATTTATAATTAGTATAGGCGTCTCAAATGTAATGAGCCTTGAATAAATATCCGTAAAGTTCCCATTTCAACCCTTTAAGTGTTTAATCCATCATCAAGTATCGTGCAGATAAGCGGGGATGCTTAAAATATAGTTAGTTTGACTGGCGTTAAAGGTTCAAAGAGGATGACAAAAAAAATTGCAACATAAATCGTTTAATGCAAAACAGCGTGAGTCAAGTTTTTTTTTCCTAAAATTTGATTCAACGTTACGTTCGAAAAATCAATCTTTCTGTTTTGTGCAAAAGTATTAACTTTACGATGGCTCGAAAGAAATCTAACATCATGGCATTTTACAGAATTCTTATTTTATCTTTCAATACTACTTTTTTCAGCTTGCTCCATTTTGTTTTATTTCCACATTTACACGCGCCTCGTTCAGTTTTAAAAATTAATTTGATTTGAATTTGAATTTTTATTCTGAATTTTAATTTTTGTCTAATTTTATTAAAAATTAAATTAATTTGAATTTTAATTTTTATTCTGAATTTTTATTTTTTTCTAATTTTAAGCACTGAAAGGGTTGTTAAATAAAAACACAGATACTACACAAAAGTATACAATATTGTGATATTTTGCATTTTAATTCTGCATTTGCTCTTGCCCCAATTGCGTGAAATAATTATAG